AAATATTTTATTTACACTATTTACAAAATCGTGGTTCAAATGTGTGCGTAGATATATGAAAAAACTGTAGAAAAACTCTTGAAAACTCTGGTTAGTAACTATATTTTTTGACTATTTATTAAATTTTAAATTAAAGTGGGGTTGTAATAGAGGGTGGTGATTTTTGAATTTAGCGCCTATCATTGGTGAAGAGGAGTGGTAAGGATGTTGATAAAGGGAAGGAGGTATTGAGAGGGCAGGGGTAGAACAAGTAATGCACAAGGCTAATGACACTGCCTGACGAAATTTCCAAATCTACCGATTCCGACTAAATACCTACAATCGCTATTGTAAACCTTTACAAAATAGAATTCAACCATAAAATTGAAATGAACTGTATTCCCAAATGATCGGATCATAAAGTAAACAAATAGAATATACCCAGATGTGTCGAGAATAGATAGTATAAATATTTAAATGGTTTTATGACGTGCAGTTTGAGATCTTTAGAAATGTAAATAATAACAGAATATTGCACCCCATTTCTTAGACCTAAATACAATACGACTTTTTACATGACCTGAACTATTGAACGTCGGCAAATAGTTTATGAATGTTAACAATATTCATACGGAAAAACACCCTTACGCTGAACTAATTCAAATTCTTCATCATTTTGGTAATAACTTCCTTGTGATAATTTTTTGTTTCTTTTCTAAATAAGATGATAATTTATCTAAGCTGCCATAAAACGAAAAGAATCTAAAAATCTAAAACTTACATTAATTTTTTCTATAAATTTTGTGAATGATATATACTTCTCTTTATTAACCGGTAATAAAGAAATATTACCTTTTATTTCTACGCTTAAAGCTTTAATTATGAAATGACTGTCATATCCGGATAAAGAAGTCAAGAATTACAGGTGTTGTATGATCATTCTTATAATTCAAGTTACAATTTGAATGCGCTGGACCTCTATAATTTCCTGTTAAATGACAGTGATCTTCTACTTTAACATTTCCACTACTAAATGGTAAGTAAGATGCTGATTTTCCTGTTCATATGATAATTTTTTAATTGGAATAATGTTTGAAAAAATATTTTTAAATTTGAAAGCTAAAGTTTCAAGTTCCTTAACGAACCACGTAATACAATCCTTCCCTGTGTATAACTTAAATTTAGAAAGAGAATCATCATAATAACACTTTAGATAACATTCAATACTGAAAGGCTCGTGTTTCTGATACTTTTGCATTTTACTTGTACATTTTAAGTCATTGTGTTTAACTAGTATACTTTCCAAATCAGCATAAATTACAAACGGTACAAATTCCTTATTCTTAAAATGGAATAATGTTTGAAAAAATATTTTTAAATTTGAAAGCTAAAGTTTCAAGTTCCTTAACGAACCACGTAATACAATCCTTCCCTGTGTATAACTTAAATTTAGAAAGGGAATCATCATTATAACACTTTAGGTAATATCCAATACTGAAAGGCTCGTGTTTCTGATACTTTTGCATTTTACTTGTACATTTTAAGTCACTGTGTTTAACTAGTATACTTTCCAAGTCAGCATAAATTACAAACGGTACAAATTCCTTATTCTTAAAATTTTTAAATTTTAAATACTTTTCGTTATCTTTTGGTAAAGTGATTTTTGTCTTGTTTAAATTTTTACAATCAATTAAATGCGTTTCTAAAGTTTGCTTTGATGTAAAGTTGTTTTTCATTTGTTTGTGTAACAGTCGTGAAAGATCATCAATTAATGCAAAATGTAATGTTCTATTTAATTGAACATTTGTTCAATTGAACTCAGTATAGGAATCTGTAAAATTATTTTATCATAATAATCAATATCACAATTTAAATTATCACACGGAATCATTAATAAGTTGATATGAGGTGTAAAATCAGTTTTACTCAAACAAATGGGTACAATACTAGTTTTATCAAGTGTGAAAGCGTTAATGGATAAANTCGCAGGAGAATATAGATGGGCAACTGTCTGCCAAAAAAAATGGCGACGCAACCGATGATCGGGAACCGCCCTTCAAAAATGCTACCTGCAAGATATGTTGCCAAATGTTTTTCTACAAGTTCGGCTCTGTATAAGTAATTATAATATAATTATTACATCCTTCACTTTACTACTGACAAAACAGTTGTGAAGCCAGTAGGAATTATACCACACTTATCTGCTCTGTCTTAGTAAAATCTTAGCTCAAATAGACCATAAGTTTATAGTAGTCAAACAGACTATAAATGGCAGAACATCGACATATATAGGTTATTCCTATCTTAGTATTATAGTAGGGGTATATTACAAGAGTGGGGCTTTGTCTTATCATAAGTGGATTAGTAGTAGATTAGAACAGTACTATATAACATTACACTTCACTACACTTAACTATTCACACACACCTTTCCCCGGGCATTTATGTACATGCGTCAACTGCTGCACCAGCTTCTGTGTACCCATACAGAGCCGCTCGTACCTCGAACGCTTCGTTTCTACCTCATGCGCTAGGACGTCTTCTTCGAGACGCAACTTATGTTCTTCTTCCACTAGTTGCGTCTCTTTCTCCGACAGCTGGAGGATTTCTCTTTGAAGACGAACGACCTTAAGAATGGTCCTGCACTTTCGCACTTGGGCGAGCTCTGTGCTCACGTTACCGCGAGCATCGCGCTTCCTCTCGCAAGCTGACGTCAGTGCCTCCATTTTTTTCTCGCACATGATGAGCATTTACCATGACGCCTTCTAACCGCTCCATCGCCTGCGAAAGCGCCGGATCCCCAGCTTCTTACTTGCTGCCACCGTCGTGGTGGTTGTGGCAACGGATAACGCCGCCATAGTGGTAACGACTCCAACTATTTCATACTGCAAACAAAACGTGATTGTTTTAAAAAATTACACAGTTCGGCACTGCCGGCTTCTTTACATTATTTCCAACTATCTTTTCCAAAATATCATCGTTCACTTCACACAACGTTCCACAACAGAATGAGACAATGCTCTCCGTTTACCAACTTCTTCCCGCTTACCCTGCACCCTCCTACAAAACAAGTTATTCGCCTCTTAACCATCATCGGAATGTGGTTTGCAGACGTGACATCATCTGTGCAGTGAACACCTGCGTAATACGCATGCGTCGATTACTCTATCATCGGAATCCCCATTCGCTAATGTTGTGATCACATAGTTATGATGAAACGATCGTCGTAACAATTTTTTTTGAAAGGGACAGAAACACTTGATTATAATAATAACTTTAATTAATATAACTTAAATACAGTTCACTACTCAATACTCTATAATATTCTGCTCTCTTATGCCTACGTTACATTGGCTTATATACTAATCGGTTATCGATAAATATGTGGACATAACTCTCCTCCGGTTAGCTTAAAGATCGTCCTCAATCTCTTGTTATACAGTGATTTTCGGGTAAATTGGAGCTGTAGCTGGCGGTGGTCCAATAAAGGGTTCTCGAATTGGTTCAGTCAGTTCTAATTGTGGTGCAGGATCTTTATTATTTTTCCAATTATTATAACGTAAATAAAGGCTTTTTCTAAAACACATAAGTACACCAGTAATTATGAANCTTCACTTTACTACTGACAAAACAGTTGTGAAGCCAGTAGGTATTATACCACACTTATCTGCTCTGTCTTAGTAAAATCTTAGCTTAAATAGACCATAAGTTTATAGTAGTCAAACAGACAATATATTTATGTAATTTTATTGTGAATAAAGCAACTTGATTGTTAAGTACAGCATAACCAACTATAAATGGCAGAACATCGATATATATAGGTTATTCCTATCTTAGTATTATAGTAGGGGTATATTACAAGAGTGAGGCTTTATCTTATCATAAGTGGATTAGTAGTAGATTAGAACAGTACTAATTTACTTTACACTTCACTACACTTAACTATTCACACACACCTTTCCCCGAGCATTTATGTACATGCGTCAACTGCTACGCCAGCTTCTGTGCACCCACACAGAGCCGCTCGTACCTCGAAGGCTTCGTTTCTACCTCATGCGCTAGGACGTCTTCTTCGAGACGCAACTTATGTTCTTCTTCCACTAGTTGCGTCTCTTTCTCCGACAGCTGCAGGATTTCTCTTTGAAGACGAGCGACCTTAAGAATGGTCCTGCACTTTCGCACTTGGGCGAGCTCTGTGCTCACGTTACCGTGAGCATGGCGCTTCCTCTCGCACATGATGAGCACTTACCATGACGCCTTCTAACCGCTCCATCGCCTGCGAAAGCGCCGGATCCCCAGCTTCTTACTTGCTGCCACCGTCGTGGTGGTTGTGGCAACGGNTGTTTTGATAGTTTCCAGTGGAAATTGCAACAAAGTAGAGGATAATAATAATAATAAAAAGAAATTGATAATGGAATGAAATTTATTGAAATATGGTATAAACATATAAACAAATTTGTTTCACAAGTTTTATACTATTTGCCAAATACTATTCTACCGTTAGATTTCTTTTGTAATTGTGGTGAATCAGGTTTGTTTCTAAATCGTTAATAAATTCAGGGCCTCGATATATACTAAATATTTTCAATACAGCAAATTGGCCATAGCAAGTTTCCACTTTGTTGTGCCGTATTATGTTGTATGATAAATACCATGACACAGGTACAGTGTTATTGAACGCAACGATATGGTACATTTTTCGTTTTCTGAATAAACTTGAAGTTCTGTGTCAGTTAGCATAATCTAGGTAGCTTTTTTCTCGCCCATCCTTTTTCTTTGACTAATTGTTTTAAGTAGTTAGGTTTTTCATCATCTTGGTCTTTCTTTCGGTGTTTTTAACTCTTGTAGGATAAAATTCATTAAGTATAGCACATATGATTCGTACGTAGTCGCCAATGTAAGGTATTTGGGTATTTGGTATCACTTTATCCAATACTCTCCGGTTTTTCAAGTGACCATTAACACCTGACTTTGGTCACAAGACGCGTCTCATTAGCATCTTCTGTTGAAAACTGTTGCTGTTTATTTAGAAACTTAGGCATTTTATGCACGAGGCCCATTTCTTCTAGAAGTCCCCAACAATCACGAAAACCTCTATCAACAACCATTACATCATTTGGCTTCAGCCACTCTTTTATACTATGTGCATTTTATTTTAATATATGCGTGAATATGTTAGCATCGTTGTTCTTTGGATCAGCCAAATAGGGTCCGAAGACGTCTAAAATGTAACCAGAAGTAGTGACAAACATCATAGGTTTAACTAAAGGTCTTCCTTTGTGTAACGAGTAAGATCGTCTCTGAAAGGAATAGTTTGCACTTTTCTGAATATAAATATACGTGCCATCAGCAACGAGTATCAGTGTATCATCGTCTCTATCGGGAATAAACAATCTTTTTTCTAAGTCTCGTATGTTCTTTAATAACCTGTGTTTTCGTTATGTGTTTCATCCCAAGGTATAGTGACACAAAGTTCTCAATTAAAGCCTGACGGGCACATGGCACAGAAGATGACATCAATCGTTTTCTTATATTGAATAATGTGGACAAAACAATATTAGACAATCCAGTTATAAGTTTTGCAAGTAATACTGCCAGGCAAGTACGAGATGACCTCACTTTCGAGGAACGAATCTTGGGCTTTACAAGTTCAAAAACACGGTTAAAATCAAGATTCCCTATACCCATGAGATTAAAATAATCAGCTTCAGAAATTTGACCTGGTGTATCAAAGTCGAGCCCTTTTTTCTTTGCTACTTTTCTGATATTCTTTAAAAGACTTTCAATATCTTTGTCATACATTAAGGTATTGTCGCTTATAGGACGTAAAGCTTGCAGACCCAATTCGCTGAATACCGATCCGGTGATATGGGTTTTGCAGCATCTTTTCCCCGGTGAAATATTAATTCCAGTATTTATATAAACTTGAGTTCGAGCTGCTTTTGGTACAGTTATGAGGCTATTTTTACGCCTACATATTATACAACACGTATTTGAGTTGTGACAACGAGGTATTGATAAGAGTATATTAGGTCTCTTTGTAGTGTCATCAGTGGTACTTGTTGAAGCAACTCTTGTCATTATGGAAGTAGTACTTTGATTTTTAGACCGAATATCACGCAAAATGCATATGATCTGCACTTAGAACACCGTTTAGAACCACTCTGCAGATTACAGTTTTTAGAACTTCTAAGTATTGATATAATTTTTCTATTCGCACAGACCTGAAAATCACTACTTTTTTTTCTGCCATGATTTACAACAATCACACTGGCTACCAGGCATTGTTAGTTTTTTCAAAAAACATTCACAACGACCTCCGAGCACAATTTTACACTATACAAATAATTTTTGAATCACGGCAAGACAGGTATAAGCACGTTCACAATCGCGGTGCAAGCGATATGCGCGGAGTATATTTTCTTGTATTGGATAGACGCAGCCATTGAACCAAAATAAATTAGCTCTCACATAAAAGTTTATCAAGAGCACTATCATTGTGCATCAAAGTGAATATGGTTTACGGAGCGCATGTTTAAGAAATATCTTAAATGTTGAAAAAACGACAAAAATGTATAAAAAAGACGAAACACCCTCTGTTTGGGGAATAATTTCTTTGACTTACTACATTATTTACTACGTAAATGTCTTTAAATAAAAAAATATATATCTTTAACTATACAAATCCATTTAAAAATAACCGGAATGAGACACTTTTATTGTATGTAATGGGCGAAAAATGCCTCTTATCAACCCTACTCCTTTGTTATTTTTGGTAAAACCCATTTATACAATTCGAAGTCTCCAGTACGAAAACTTCTACCCAAATACAAATAATAATGAATTAATTTAATATAAGTCATGTAAAATTTTTGTGTCAGACCAAACTCTCCTTTTAATGTATCCTCCTGATATTTAGAGTATTCAGTCAGTAAGTTTTTCAGTGATGGTTTATTTCTTTTTGCGTTAAGAGACTTATTGCTCCAGAGGCTTGTGAGTTCGGATACGATTTCATCATCGATTTCAATATTTTTAGTCTCTGAGAAAGGTCTGAAGTGTAATATTTCCAGCCCTAGGGCTATTATCGGATGAAGACGCTTGCACCGATTAAAATGTTTGCCTTCAATAAATCCTGAGATTGATCCACTCGCCAATAGATCACTCTCCATCATAATTGTTGTTAAGCCACAATCATTGATGAATTTGCCAATCGTTTTGAAATATGCCACCATTACATTGTTGTTTATACTTACTTTAATGTAACAAAATAAAATTACTAGCGCCACCTGTGCCATACAATGTGAACCTATGTGAACGAACGATTGTTGTATTATCTGTACAATAAAGAAAAGACTATTAGTTGTTTCAAAGCTAGCACTGCGTTCTATCAGGTTATGGGCCCAGCGTGCGTAGAATCAGTAATTTAATAAATAGGTTCACAGTGAAGTTCGAGAAAATGTCTATAAATTACTTAGCGAACGTTCCCAAATTGAAAGGACGGGAGAATTACAACGACTGGTGTTTTGCTGCAGAAAATGTGCTCGTACTGGAGGGAATGGCGGACGCCATCAAGGAACCCTTGCCGGCAACAGCTAGCCCAGCTCAGATAGCAGATGATTTGAAGGCCAAAGCAAAATTGATACTGACGATCGACGCTTCTCTTTATGTGCATATCAAACAAGCAACGTCAACATACAGTTTGTGGAAGATTTTGAAGAATATGTTTGACGATTCCGGATACGCAAGAAAAATAAGTTTATTGAGAAACCTCATCAGTATACGCCTAGATAACTGCGAGTCAATGACCAGCTATGTCAGCCAGATCATCGATACAGCTCAGAAATTAAGCGGCACCGGCTTCGAGATTAATGACCAGTGGATTGGGTCACTTATGTTAGCTGGACTACCGGAGAAATATGGACCGATGATAATGGCAATCGAGCATTCGGGCATAATCATCAGTGCGGACGCTATAAAAACTAAGTTATTAGACATGAGTGCAGATTTTGAGGTTAAGTCGGAAGGTGCATTTGCCGCCAGAAATTTTCACAGACGGAATGTTGGCAGTATTGCAAAAACGCAAGTTCAACATGGCTATACCGGAATGAACGGAACGTCATCGTCTGTCAACAATTGTCAAAACAATATGGCGCAGAGGAAAAAGATAATTCGTTGTTATAAATGCAAACAGATTGGACATTTCAAAAACCATTGTCCGGGTGCAGAGAAAATAACTACGAACGCATTTAGTGCAGTTTTTCTAACAAAGGAATTTAGTCAATCAGACTGGCACCTAGACTCCGGCGCAAGCACGCATATAGTGTCGAATGTGAACTTATTATCAAATGTTTGTAAACAACCCAAGACTAAGGATATAATTGTTGCGAATCAGACGGTCGTGCCAGTTCTGTGCTCCGGAGACCTGCAATTGACAACATGTGTTGGAGACAGAGAATATACAATTGATGTAAACAATGTTTTGTGTGTTCCCAAAGTCACCACTAACTTACTCTCGGTGAGCAGAATAATTGCAAGCGGCAACAAAGTGGTATTCAACCAGCATGGATGTTTGATCTACAACTCACAGAATGATTGTATTGGCAAGGCACTCTTAAAAAATGGGGTGTACCGTTTGATTGTTAGAAAGATGCAACAACCCTTAGCAGCAGCAGTGAAGTGTTCGAGTACTACTTGGCATCGGCGGCTAGGCCATATCAACACAAATGATTTAAATAAATTGAAAAATGGAGCGGCAGAAGGTGTATTATTTGATGACAAAAGTGAAGATAGTAAAAGTTCCTGTATTGTTTGCTGTGAAGGAAAGCAGACAAGACTACCATTTCCTAGAAGCACAACCAGAAGTGAACATGCCCTAGAACTGGTTCACACCGATTTATGTGGGCCAATGGAGAACCTATCCCTAGGTAAGGCGAAATACTATCTTTTGTTTGTTGATGATTTTAGCCGATTGTGCACAGTTTACTTTCTCAAATCCAAGAGTGAAACACTTGCATATTTTAAACAATATAAAGAGCTTGTTGAAAATCAGCAGTCAAAGAAAATTAAGATATTGAGATCTGACAATGGTGGAGAATTTTGTTCTACTGAAATTACCAATTTTCTAAGAAAGTGTGGCATAATTCATCAAAAAACGAATAGTTACACACCAGAACAAAATGGATTGTGCGAACGATATAACAGATCCATTGTTGAGAAAGCACGTTGTCTCCTTTATGATGCCAAGTTTGATAAATGCCTTTGGGCAGAAGCTGTGAACACAGCTGTGTA